GCGTATTGTACGAATATCTGAAACAAACAATCAAATTTTTATCTGAGGAAGACACCTTTTAGAAACTTTACAAAAAAAATGTCCGACAATTTACTGTAAATAAAAATTAGTTCTTGTGGTATACATATGATGCCACGGGCGACATTTATTTTGTACAGAGATGGCGTGCTTGAGTCATTAGTCTTACAAGTCTATTGAATACTTGTTAAAAACATTTCTAAAACTCACCCCTACCGGCTAGCTGCTTCATATTATTTCCAGTTGTACTTCTGTGTGTCCTAGAGATATATAGGCCATACTAAAAAATCTCTGGTGTTTACAGTTCGGGAACTAAGACACTAGGAGAGAGAGATGCGTTGAAATGGTTGTGAAGCTCGTAAAAATGGAAAAAAATTAATAAAGTAAAGGATTTTACCGCTGAAAGTTTCACGATGATCAGAGAATATGATGTTAGAAAACTTTCGTGGTTTTGGAGCAACCATTCTATATCTTTTATACGTATTAGTCGGTGACCTACAAATAGATGTAATCTTCGAGTTAAATAATCGTTCTTAACATGTTTAATACAATACTGGTGATTCTCTCTCTCTCATTATATATATAAAAGTAGTAAAATGCGAAGGTGATAAAATATATACTAGCGAAAGTACTGGGTTGATATATTTTAGCAAGTGCATAAAATTTATCATGAAAGTAAAAATATCGATCCAATTTTAAACTTAAATCGTTTTTGAATTAAACTATTTTCTGTTATATCGCCGACGTTTTTAATAAAAAAACAAACAAACCTCTTTAATCAACGGAGGCTCTAAATTAAGAAGTCAATAAATATCATTCAAGTTTGGTTGTTTATGCATTTGATTTTACACTTCCAGTACATAGACTAACAACATTAGGTAATACTTTTGTTACTAAGCAACATGACATTGTTACCAAAACGCGTTGGCTTTCCTATATATTAGAATTTGTTAATCTAACTGATATACTACAGGGTATACTATGGGGCGCACATGTGCGCATGCACGTGGATAAGATAAGTAATAATACCCAGGTGCACCCTCTCAGGGCCTACTTAGTATGGGTGCAAAATTTCAGGTTTCTAGGTTCTTTCTTCTTGTAGCTATAACGGACACACACACACACACACTACGTTTTTATTATTATATATGTACACACACACACACACACACACACACATATATATATATGTGTGTGTGTGTGTGTGTGTGTATGTGTATTTAGTTAATTGT